AGCCCCCCAACCCGGTCCCCCAGCCAGTGGACCCTCACCAAGTGCCAGGCGTCCACCCCGGCGCGGACCCTCACCTCGGACTGGAGGACGGTGGGCTCCCAGCACGGCATCACGGTCACCGAGAGCGACAGCTACAGCGCCAGCCTCTCTCAGGACACGGGTACGGCAGGGGGGGGGGGTGGTCGGAGGGGGGCGTTCGGCCGGGGGGGCTCTGCTCGTCTGGGGTACACGGGCTCATTGGCAGTGACTGCAGAAGCAACGTTTCCTGTTATGGGGATGGCAGAACAGCGATTTCCACCACAAAAGCCACTTGTTATTGATGGACAGCGGCCGAGTTGAAAGGCGTACTCCAATTTCTAATTAAGACCGTGCACGCTGTCAGAAATTGGACACACACCAGTGATGGGTCCTTGTGCCAGGTCTTGCTGTGAGCTCCTGGTGGTGGTGGTGGCTCCTGGCTCTGCTGGGAGTCACTGAGCTCCAGGTTAAGGGGTGGGCATGTGGTGGCCCTGGGGTGCGTGGGCAGGGCTCTGGGGCGGATTTGGGGCTCCCGGTGCCCCCTGAGCGGCAGGGCTCACGCCCAGGGCCGGGGACAGATGGCCGGGTGTACCTCAGAACGGGCATTCCCGACCCAGGGAAAACTCCCCGGTGTGTGACGTGTCCTCTCCTCCGCAGACAAGGGCCGCAACAGCATGGTGTCCACCGAGAGCGCCTCGTCCACCTACGAGGAGCTGGCGCGGGCCTACGAGCACGCCAAGCTGGAGGAGCAGCTCCAACACGCCAAGTTCGAGATCACCGAGTGCTTCATCTCCGACAGCTCCTCGGACCAGATGACCACCGGCACCACCGACAACGCCGACAGCATGACCTCCATGAGCACCCCCTCGGAGCCCGGCATCTGCCGCTTCACCGCCTCCCCCCCCAAACCCCAGGACAGCGAGCGGGGCAAGAGCGTGGCCGTGCCCATCCCGCACCGCGCCAGCAAGAGTGAGTACACGTGTGCTTTGCCTTTAGCTGTGTGCTTCGTGTTTGTGTGCACTGCAGAGAAAAAGACCTAAATACACGTGCTGAAAGAGGCACTGGGGGCTAGGACAGGAGAGGGGAAAGCAGCTCCCACCTTGTGCAGCGTTGCTGCTGTGGGTTCTGCTCATAGCCCTTGTCAGGCTTTCCGGTGGAAGTGCGAGTTGGGTTCGGTAGGTTCTGCAGATCCCAGCACAGCCTGGAAAGGATCCCCACAGAACAATTCCCATTTCTCCATCCCTTCTCCCCATTTTTTCTTCCCTTTTCTCCACCTCACGTGGCTCTGCTTCTGCCTTCGTTTCCCTTCCTCTTGCTCCTCTCCACACTGCTTCGCTCCTCATTTGCTCCTCCTTCCTCTGCCCTGTGTGCCCCTTGGCGCTCCCCCCTGGAAAAAGGAGTGGAAAAAGGAGTCCAGAGAATGAAATCTGTTTTATAGCCAGACAATCCTTTCATTTTAACACTTTTTACAGCAAGAGAGAGAATTACTGGACCGTGCCTCACATTTCTTTCAGTATGGGAAACATGGGAATACAGCACCCGTAGTTGAAACACTTCCTTTAGCTAGCAGACATACCATGGTGCAGTCTGAAATACAGCAGGTACTGACTGCTTAGCAAGATGAACTGCACCGCTTGGTATTCCTGTGCCATTACCTCAAACGCTGTATTTCATCTTAATTCTTCTTTTCTTCCTTAGTTACATCTGTATTCATTTATGAGCTGAGTCTCGTTTTACAGTATAGAACAGTCTTTTTCTGTAAATAGTCAAAAAACACCTACTGCAAATATATCATGGTTTAAAATGTATGCTATAATTAATAGTAAAATATAGAATTATAGTTTAGGAATGTGTATGTTCTGTAATAAGTTCCACAAACCACCACTGGAAGCAAGTTTCATGTATTACAACACAAACAGAACTGCAATATTCTGTTATACACGCAGACGCCCACCCTCAATTTAAGATCCCAGTTACATGTAATACCATACCGCCCTACAGCATCATCTGTTCCTTTCTGCAGCACATTTTATATAAGCATACTATACTTTAGCGTGCAACTGCTGTGTACTATGGATTATAGGAAGTTTTATACATGTAGTACAAATATTATCACAGAATTGCTCAGTTGGAAAAGCCCTCTGAGATCATCACGTCCAACCGCTCCTGTCTACTCCCTAAACCATATCCCTAAGTACCTCATCTACCCGCTCTTTAAACACATCCAGGGATGGTGACTCCACCACCTCCCTGGGCAGCCTGTTCCAGCTTCTGACGACCCTCTCAGTACAGAACTTCCTCCTTATCTCTAACCTGAACCTCCCTTGGCACAGCTTGGTGCCGTTTCCCCTTGTTCTATCCCCATCACCTGGGAGAAGAGCCCAGCACCCACCTCTCCACAAGCTCCCTTGAGGCAGTTGTAGGTGGTGCTGAGGTCTCCCCTCAGCCTTCTCTTCTCCAGGCTAAACAAGCCCAGTTCCCTCAGCCGCTCCTCATCAGGCTTGTTCTCCAGAGCCCTCCCCATCCTTGTGGCTCTTCTCTGAACACGCTCCAGAATCTCATCTACACAAAGTGTAAATACACACACCTTTACACAAAGTACATGACAGAACCTTGTGATGTGTATCATGAGTGATAGTTGTCGTATCACACACTCATCAATTTATGCAATATATTACATATACATATTTACTTTCTACCTTAACACATACTAGATGCTGTGTTCCAGCTGAAGGTGTTTTTGCAATGTGGTTTGGCATTGTTTTGTATCACACACTTATCAATTTATTCAATATATTATCTATACGTAGTCTTATGTTCTCAGGTAGAAAGAAACCAGATGCTGCGTTACCTGTGAAAGAAAGCAAGTTGCACCAGCGTTATGTAGCATTGTCTTATTACCGTGCACGTTCATTGTCACACATTATTAGCACCTTGAGCACGGCAGTTTGACCCATTCTGTCGATCGCATTGCACCGAGTACAGCCACTCACCGGATGATGATACCACCCGTTTTATACACCCTTACACTCCCATACGTTGAGGTGAGGGCTTTGGGATGGACAGGGCCCACTCCAGCCCCTCACCGCCCTCCGTTTCCCTTCCAGGCGACTACTGCAACCTCCCGCTGTACGTCAAGTCGGAGGCCTTCTTCCGCAAGCCCGACGCCC